GTACGGGGCCGTCGAGGTGTTCTCGAACAAGGCCGTCCGCATACCCCCCGTTGCCGCCGCCTCCGCGGCCGCCTCGGCCCCCCATGCCTGGCCCGGCCCTGCTCGCAAGCCCGTCGGGCAGAGGACGGGGCAGTAGCGGGAAGACGAGAGCCAGCATCATGCCCCCCCTCAACGTTGGCCCTGACCAGCCCCATCTTCCTCGAGTCTCGGGGCTCGGGTTCGCAACCCTCGCTCGCAGGACACCCTTTCGGAGGCGGAGGGCAGGGCATCGCGCAACGTTGAGTCTCGCGGCCGCGGGGGTCGGAAAGCATCAGCCACAGGACGAGGGCACGGCGGAGGAGGAGGCGGCACCTCCCAGGCCTCCCAGATTCTGCCCGAGCAGACGGGGTCGGAGGACCGCGCCGCCTCGCCGATGCATCGGCCGAGTGGCTCGGCGTGGAGCCCGATCTTCTCCACGCCGTCGTCGATGAATCGGCGGTGCTGCGCGATCCTCCGACCCCGTCTACTCGGACCTGGGAGGCCCCCAGCACCGCAAGCCAGGAGCGAGGCAGCAGAAGAGCGAGGCGGGACGACGTGGAGCAGGCCGATGCCAGCTAGTCCGCGTCGAGGGTCGGGGTAGCCGCAGTCGACAACGCCGCGGACTACCACCGAAGTTGCGTTGTTCCTCCGACGACGACGTTGATCGTCCCCCCTTCCCATCCTCCTTCTCCTTCTCGTCCTTGACATCGTTCTCCTTGCTCTCGTCATCCTCGCCGTCTCTCTCGACCGTGCCTTAGTCCTTAGCTCTCTCCTGGAAAAGCGACTGAGACGAGCGAGCAGAAATTGCCCCCCTGCTCCGAGACAGTGGGCTACTCTGATGGGCTTGTTTTCCACCACCACCACCATAAGTTCGAGGGGGGAAGGAGGAGGAGGAGGAGGAGGAGGAGGCGGGGGAGGAGCAAGAGGAGGCGGAGGAGGCGGAGGAGGCGGAGGAGGAGGAGGAGGAGGAGGGAGGAGGAGGGAGGGGGAGGAGGCGGAGGAGGAGGAGGCGGAGGAGGCGGAGGAGGAGGAGGAGGAGGGGGCGGAGGAGGAGGAGGCGGAGGGGGCGGAGGCGGAGGAGGAGGAGGGGGGGGGGAAGCGGTCGAGCCCAAGCACGCAAGAGCCGCTGCTGCCGCACCGCACGCGGCGGTCCTCGGCGAGCCGCGCCCCGGTGGGGGGGGGCGCCCCCTGCCCGGGGGCGGCGCCCCGAGCAGGGCGGCCGGAGCACGCAGGCCGCCGTGCCCCGCGCCTCCGGGCGGCGCCGCCGCTTGTGGGCAGGCTCGGGGCCTCGGCCGCCCGCCCTCGGGGCCTCCGGGCTGCTCGGCGGCCTGGGCCTCGTCGGGCCGAGGCCACCCGCCCCACCTGGGCCGCGTGGCTCTCTATAGGCCTCCCAGGTTCGACGGGGGGATCGACTGCAGAATCGATGTCTACCCCAGAATTGATGTTCACGTCGACTCTTCCACAAAGACACGTCAACCATGCGCAGAGCTGCGAAAGTTCTGCACACTGCCAGTGGGTTCGACAAGAGGAATCGATTCTGGAGCAAATCAATGCTGTAGTCGAACCCCTGGTCGACAGACGGGGTCCGAGCAGATGGGGTCGGAGGATCGCGCCGCATCGACTAAGCAGCGGCGGTGCGGCTCGATGCGGCTCGATGTGGAGCCTGGCTTCCTCCACGGCGACGTCGCCGAAGCATCGTTGACGTGTCGCCAGTGCACGGCCGATGCATCGCCGATGCATCGGCGGTGCATTGCCGATGTATCGGCGATGCGGCACGATCGTCCGACCCCATCTACTCGGACCCCTATCTAGGGAGCCTCTCATCTCGGCCCCACCAGCCTACCCTCCCAGGCGGGGATAGGCCCCGCGAGACCGAGGGAGCGGGCATGCAGCCCCGCCTGGGTGGGTGCGTCGGCCAGCAGGGCAAGGCCACGCCAGTGAGGACAGGGAGAGGCGAAGCGATGCTCAGTTTGAGGCACGGGGCAGAGTGTGGCGTTCGCCCTCGGCGGTGCGGGGGGTGGGGGGCTCTGTGAACACGCGGAGGGCGACCAGGCGATCTGGAGACGGAGGCTACCCCGTCGCTCCAGCGGGGGTCCGCGCGAGTCGTTCCTCCTCCCTCCCTTCCTTCCTGCGCTGCCATTTCGGCTCAGGGGGGTCGGCAGTGAAGCGCCGAGAGCTTCGCGCAGCGAGCCCAGAGGCGAGACGACGATGGGCCCGATATTTCGCTTCGCGCTCGCGGCCGGGATCGCGTCTTCTGCGGCCAGCACCGAGGACGCCGGTTGGGAGCTGATCGCCACCAGTTCGGGCGCGGAGGTGTCGCGCACGTGCTACGAGGCCGTCGGCTTGGCAAGCCTTCCAGAATGGGCACATGGCTCCTTCATCATCAGCGGTCCCGCAAAGTTTGAGATGGGCGGTATTCGATTTCAGGCGATCTTCGATGGATATGGCCGAGTCAACCGTTTCGAGCTCCGCAATGGGGAGGTGTGTTACACCTCTGCGTGGCTGAACACTTCATACTACATGGCAGCAGAAAAGCTAGGTGAGATCGGTCCAGGCGTGCTGTTTGAGAGAACTACGCCAGAGAGGCCCAAGTGTCAAACGCTATTTTGCGACGTGAAGGCCCCAATGGACAACAATTGGGTGAACCTCTTGCCAGTGGCAGGGGAGGGGCTCCTCATCAGCGATTCGCCTAACATGCTGAACTTGAACCTCGAAACTCTTGCCGTCTCAGGCGAACACGCGTGGGAGGATGGTACAGGCACGAGGCCGTCGTGGATGGCAACGTCACATGTGGGCACATTTGGCTCTGCACACCCGATCCGTCGGCCAAAGACCGAGGCCACGCATGTAGCTATAATGCTGTCACTGTCGATCACGCCATTGAAACCGAATTACGCCACCATCTATTCAATCGACACAACAGTGGGCAAGAGTCGCAAACTGATTGCAAACGTTCCGGTAAAGGGGCTTGCATATTTTCATAGTTATCAAGTTGCTTGCGGCGAACGCCGCCAACGTGCTTGTGCAACAGCGCTGCAGGAAGGAGATCAAGTGTAGGAACAGCGCTATTTCAACGAGTGGTCTGATAAGGACGGGTCGTGAACTTAACCTCTTCTTCGTCCACGCGGTAGGAAAGAAGTCGAATGTACACCTTGTTGCAGTTCAGCGAGTGGTCTGAATTGGGGACGGGGAGGAGGAGGAGAAGGAGGAGGAGAAGGAGGAAGAGAAGGACCAGTGTAAACCAAAGACCCATCAACGATATTGCAATAAGCCCTCCCTCCAAGTTGCCTCTTCCTGGGTTCCTATACACGGATTTATTTTCAATAAGGGAATTGCCGAATTGTTTAAAAACCTACGGAGTACGAATCGTGCTTGGCCTAAGGAGCTTTCTTGGGCCGTCTTGGGGGCCTCTCGGGCCGTCTCGGGAGCATCTTGGGCCGTCTTGCGCCATCGGGAGCCGTTTTGTTGTCGTCGCGGTTGTCTGAGAAGCCGCCCCGGAGGCCATTTTGGCCATCTGGAGGCCTAGCGAGCAATTTCTGAGGGGGCGATTTCTCGACCACGTGCGTGCAGGGGGCGAGGGGTTAGACGCATTTAAAAATTTCCAAGGCAACAGACGAGCACTTTGACACGCCCAGTCCGTGCAGGCACGGTGGCGGATGGAGTTTCTGAGCATTACGTCGTCTTGCCTTGTAATATGAAGATGACAGCGAAAATCGAAGACCTTACAGGCCGCCCCTACATGCTGGACAATTTTGAGGAAAGTTGGGATGGCATCCACTTAGTTGACCTCGATGGGAACGTCCAGAAATTCGATGCGGAACCATTTTTTCATGTCCACGTCGCGAACAATTTTGAGAATGAAACGGGTGTAGTAATGGATCTCGGGGCTTTCTCCACGCTCCCGTTTGCCAAGTCCCCTCAGTTGGACATTGGCATGTTCAACAACAAAACGGCCCGCGACGGAATTGCTGATCGCGGGGAACTTCGCCGCTACGTTCTCCACTTGCATGGAGAAAAGAAGGGACAGGTCACGTGGCAGGCCGTTTCAGCACCCGGCCGTTCTGTCGATTTCTTCAAGATCAACGACAAGTGGAACGGCTTGGCCTACCGGTACGTCTATTCTGTCGAGTGGTTCCACGACGGCAGGACGTATGCGAGCATGGCTGTCGTCAAGCAGAACATGCGCACAGGTGAGAGGGCGTACTGGACGGCCAAAGACAATTACCCAGGCGAGCCCTTCTTCATCCCAGGCCCAGGCCCTGCTGAGGACGATGGCCTCGTCATCTTTGTCGTCCTCGACGGGCCAAAGGGCATCTCGAAGCTGGTGATGCTCGACGGCAAGACGTTTGAAGAAGTCACTACGGTCAAGCTGCCGCAGCACATTCCGTTCACTGCACATGGCCAGTTTATCCAAACCGCTGCAAACAAGGCCTCCAGGGCAATGGAGGAAGGCAGCCGGTTGAGAGATGTTGCTTTCGTGGTCTGAGTGGGATGTTTCCCCTACCAGGCTTTGTTTGAAGTGTGGCATGAGTTGCGTGTCGAGCACCCCCTATCAGCCCACCCAGAAACGATGCCCAGGTGAGCTGTTTTGGTCAGGGACGTGTCGGAGCAAGCAGCAAAATGACTTGACTTGCGTTTCGAGCACCCCCATCAGCTCACCCAACAACGATGCCCAGGCGAGTTGCTTGGATCAGGGACGTGTCGGAGCAAGCAGTAAAATGAAAGTGGGGCAGCAGTCAAACCGAAGTTCGGGGTCGGCCTTCGCAAACCCAGAGTTCAACCATCCGTTTCTTCGTGGGCCTCTCGGCATGGGAGCCTCTTGGAGTCCTAGTTGGACCATCTTAGGGCCCTCTTGGAGCCATTTTGGATGTCTTTGGGGCCGTCTTGGCAGTAAGGTTAGCGTGTTGATTCCGGTTCAGGTTCGCAATATCCAGTAGTGCGTGCAATGCCCGCACCACACTCGGACCAGGGCTAGTCGCAGTCACGATTCACATGGTCCAGCACTTGCCGAACAGTGCGGCTCGAACCATATCTGGACCAATCTGAATCACGGCTTCGTTGTAGGAGTGATACAGATTCCACAAAGAGCGTTTGCATTTAGGATGTTTTGTATTCTTGTATTCTTCTGGAATATGGGATTGGGCTGGTGGGTCGGTATGGCTATGTTGACGCCGTCGCCGCCTCGTCGCCGCCCGTCGCCTGGGCCTGTGTGTCTGTCTGGCGGCTATGCAGCCGCCGTCGCCGCCTCGTCGCCGCCCGTCGTTGGGGTCGGTGTGCCGTTCTGGCGGCTACATTGCCGCCGTCGCCGCCCCGTCGCCGCCTCGCCGCCGCCAGTCGTCTGGGCCGGTGCGGCGGTCTGGTGGCTATGTTGCCACCGTCGGCGCCCCTGCATCACATGCAAGGCACCACATAGTCTGCTCTACATCGATTCTCGTTCATTCTCCTTCTTAAAGAATATTCGGATCTACTCCCCCCGGAATCCTGAATTCACGGTCCCCTTTTTCGAATGCATGTTACATACGACTCTGCTCCATCGTCCATCCGAGATACGAACTCGTATCATCCCAGCCAAACCGGCATCCCCCCACCCTCATCCTTGTGTAAAAAATGATGCCGCGCGCACGCTTATCAAAAATCAGCAGTGTTCAAGAATCCCTTGCAACAGAAAATTTGGACGAAGTGCCCACGCGCGCGCGTCGTCGCGCGCGAATGCCGAAATACAACAACAACAACAATACCAACAACAGCAACAACAACACCAACAATCACTTTACCCGAACGCTCAGTGTTCTCACCAGTGCCAGGGTTTTCATGCGACGCCAGCCAATACCCCCACTTTGTGGGGGGGCAGTGCAAGCTCTACCAAATATCCACACGACTCTTCGCCACCACCCACACCCAGCTTCCCGCCCTATGACGTTCGGACACTTCACTTCGTGGCCTGCGGACGACCGTGGCTACTACACTGGCGTGGAGTACACACCCACAGAAGTTGTTAAGCCTACGTTCGTACACCCACGGCGGGCTCTTGGGGCCTCTTGAAGGCCTCCTGGGGCAACCTATGGCGCAACCAGTAGGGGGACGTTTTATTCTCGGCGGCCGAGGGCGCAACCTATGGCGCAACCAATAGGGGGACGTTTCAACAATCAGTGCACCCTCATGCGCGATGTTTCAACACGAAGCAGGCGACCATCATGATAACCATCCCCATCATGGGGGACTCTTGTCCTATAGCGGGGTCCGTGATTCCCACTCCCAGCTCTCCCGCCTCGAAACCGCATGCCCGCGCCCTGCTGCGCCGGTGCGAGACCGCCAGCGGGAGCCGCAGCCAAGGGCAAAGCACAAGGAAGCAATCGAGCGACGGGAGTGCCGTGGTGGAGAGGGGGGTTGTCGGCGGCGAGGCAAGAGCCTGGCCCTGAGTAGAAAGGGAGGAAGGCTCGAGCAGGGCCGCCGTTGTTGCTGGGAGCGGCGCCAATGCTGACGAGAGTAGGGCGTCAGTCCAGCGTAGAGAGTAGGGCGCCAGTCCACCGTAGAGCACCTGGACCTGAATCGGGCGAAGAGAACTATGCACATGCACCGATCCTGGCAAGGCCCACCCTTGACCCAGGATCGGTGCATATGCCTTCCTGGCCAAGGTAGGAGGGCGTATGCACCGATCCTGGGCTCAGGATGGGCCTGGCCAGAATCGGGGTACGTGCATAGTTCTTCTTCCTCTACTGAATAGAAAGGGAGGAAGTCTCGAGCAGGGCTGCTGTTATTGCTGCGAGCGGCGCCAGTGCTGAAGAGAGTAGGGCGCCAGTCCAGCGTAGAGCAAAACGAGGTCTCGAGCGGACGCTGGTTTTGTTGGCAGCAACAACAACAACAACAATCATTGTGAGACGGTTCGCTCTAATATGCTCGCGTGCCATACAACATGTAGATCCCGAACCCCCGATACCCACCCTCTTCGTCTTGAATCGTACCCCCTTGGGGATATATCTTTCTTACCTGCAAAGTGTACGTCGTGCAGCACCAAAGGCAGGGAAAGAGAGTACGCATGGAAGGAAGGGACTAGGGGGAGAGAGGAGGAAGGAGCACGAGAGAGAGAGAGAATAGCAAGAGGGGGGTTAGGAGCAGAAAGCATGTGACCGAACCACAAAGTGGCCCACGCCGGGGCCACGAAGGTCAGCAATGGGGCCACTGAGGGCACGAGCGACTGGGGGCCACGAAGGGCGAGTCTATGGGCCACAAAAGGCTGCGAGAGGGACACTGAGGGCAGCGGGGGGGAGGCACACGGGGCTACACTGGGGCCACGAAGGGCAGCAATGGGGCCACAGACGGTACGAGCGATTGGGGGCCACGAAAGGCGTATTTATGGGCCACAAAGAGCAGCGAGAGGGCCACTGAGGGCAGCAGCAGGGCCACGAAGGGCAGCAATGGGGCCATTGAGGGCACGAGCGACTGGGGGCCAGGAAGGGTGTATATATGGGCCACAAAGGGCAGCGAGGGGCCACTGAGGGCAGCATCGGGGCAACGAAGGGCAACGACTGGGCCACAAGGGGTGGGGCCACGAAGGGCAGCAATGAGACACAAAGGGCGCGAGCGAGCATGGGGCACGAAGGGCATGACCCTGACGGGCGGGCCGAGCGGGCGGATCGATCGTGAGTTCTGCGGGCTAAGCCAGGAAGTTCCCAGCGAGAGAGCGATTCCTTAGTCAATTTGAATATGTCCCCAGCGATCGCGCGATTCCTGAATGGCAAGAGCGCGGCGCCTGAGTAAATTGAGGGGGACTCTCAGGCGGGAGCGCGGTTCTTGAGTAAGTTGCGAGGAAGTCTCAAGCGGGAGCGGGGGACGCGAGTAAATTTCGAGGAAGTATCAAGCGGGAACCGCTGTTGTTGTAAACCAGGGGCCAGGGGCACAGTTTGAGGAGGAAGACTTCTTCTGATTAAAAACAGGGTGCGAGCGCCGGGAAGGGAACTTCAAGTGAAAAAATGCGCACCGGAGGGCGGGGATCAACAGTAGTAATTCTTCAGGAGAAAGAGTTCAACAACAACAGCAACAACAAAAACAATGGCATTAACACCAACATCAAGATAAACAAGTCCGCTCGCGATCTTGCGAATTAGAAAATGTTGTGTGCCACTTTTTGTTTGGTGTATGTATGTGTATACATATATACATAAATACATGTGGGTATATATATATATATATATATATATATATATATATATATACATATATATAGATGCATGCTACCAAAAAACTTATCGCGCGCGCATGTCGGAATCGCCCGAACGCCCTTACGCGCGTGTTTCTCGCAAGAACCCTTGGCCCAAAAACGGGGCGAAGTCCACGCTCGCGTCGTCGCGCGCATGCCGAAATCCTTCGACAACTTCGGATGTCAAAATCAAGGGCCCCCAGATTTATAAATAACGTATGGTTTTGTTACATCTTTTTCTAACCAGATTCAAATTGTTCCTGTACAGCATCGATCTTTCAACGCTGTCATTGAATTCTACCAAGCGGGCTTCTCGCAACGCGTGCCAAAAATCATTCGAACGCCCTTACGCGCGTGCTAGGGGGGTGCACGGTCCGCGTCAAATAATACCGCGCGGGCGCACTCGCGCGTCGGCCGCGCGCGCGTCGAACTCCTTCCAGAACTTCCATCACCGACGCGAGGGCGCCGCCATTGTCGTCGGCGCGATCAGCATCGCCGCCGTCACTGGCCGCGCCGTCGTCGTTGTCACCATCGCCACCAGCATCGCCATTATCATCACCGCGTCTACGACTGTCGACGTTGCCATGATACCGCGCCCGCCCAAGTCGCGGATTCGCGCTGAAGTGCCCACTGGGAAGCGCCCAGCGGTCAGCGCCACCGCGGCCGCGTCGGGCGCGCCAAACTAGCCGGTCGCTTTGCGAGCGAGCTTGCGCGCGTTAGCGGGGCCGCGGCGGCGCGCCAGCCAGCGCCGAGCATTGTAGCAATCGCCGCCGCGTGGGTTTTGCTAACCATGCCGCGGGCGGGCGGGCGGCTCAATTGCGCGAGCAGTGGATTTGGCAAGGCCAAGTTCGGCAGGGCGAATTGTGCCACATAGATTGCACCGCAGGTATTGCATTCGCATCGATCGCAGAACATCAGATGCGCACAAATTCCCCCCCTCTCGATTTGATTCGACCCCCACCCCGCCCCCCCACCCCACGCCCCAGACCGCCCCAGCAAGGAAGGAGGTCGCCCCTCCCCCCCCCCCCGCCTCCCTCGTCCACTGCAGCAGATTTTACGCGCGCGCATTCTTTCGTCAAAAATGATCAGTTGTCAGAAATCCCTCGCGCAAAGATGAGACGAAGTGCACCCGCGCACGTCGTTGCGCGCACATGCCGAAAGCCGCCAAAGAACTGATACTTTCGTGAGGATATCAAAACCGATATTCACTAGATATGATTTTTCGCAACTGGGAGTTCCAAAAAAGGCATGCGCCCGCGCTCTCGCGAATTCCGAGGAAACCAACGACT